TCATTCATAAATACAAAAAATAAAGCTTCTGTGAATGTGAAACCTGATCATGAAGCAAAATTAGATTAATAAGGAAAATGCAATAACCTATTTGTCGCTGCAATCATGTTTATTTTGTATTATTTATTTCTGTAATAAAATGCAAAATGTGAGAAAATGTTGTCAACTATAACATTAACATCTTTCTACAGCTCATATGGAAATTTACAACATCAACATAAATGCAGAGCAAGTTCGGGGACGCAATGCACAGACAACTCAATTTACTTTGTCACTCTTTCACTTTTGTAAGACAAGGTAGAATATATGGATCAACTCAAATGACACCTGTTTCACCTTATTTGTTAGAAGGAACTTTTGTGGTCAAGACCAAACTTTATTTCGTCTATATCTGAAGGAAAATAAACCATGTGGATGCAAAGCCCGTATTCTGAAGGAAAAACAAACAAAGCTTGGCATAAAGAGAAGCCTCTTACTGCCCCGCGAGGTGGTGAAACTACACCCTCTACTGTCCAAAAGGAACGCCTACAGTATCGGACTTTTATTTGCAGGGGCAACTAAGTACGTTTGAGTATACATTCAAGGTACTTGTACATACTTGCTTCTCCACTACATCTCACAGGCTTATGTAGTACTTTTTCCTTGGCAGCTTTAGTTACTTCTCACACTACAACTTTTCATACCCTTCCTGTCCATCTCCAAATTTAGTGATTTTGATTATTTCTTTTCCAATAATAAATAGGCTTACGTGTTCCTTTATATTAAAACAATTCACTTTCTTTATATGCTGAATACACAGTTTAAAAACCACTTTGTATCAGCTGAAAAATGCACCGTCGCAAAGCTGAAAACAGGGCTTTTTCCTGAGCTCGTGAAAAGTTGCCTTTTTACATGAGTTTCACACAACACATATGCTACAAACATAAGATGATTTTATAGAATATGATGCATTGCTGTAGATACAACTAGCAGTTTCTATGAGTTAAATTAGTACAACCATCAATGCAGTAAAATGCAACATACACATTAATGCAGCAGCAATATAAATCCAAAAACATCAAATAGTAAAACACTGACAAGGACCTTCTTTTTGCTTAGGTAAGGTTTTGAATGCAGGGCTGTATTGTTACAACAAGGCATGTGATTTATTCTTCCACCACAGATTTCCTTTATATACTTTATTTATTATTTTACCACCTTGTTACATATATGTCAGGTATGATATGAAGATGATTGATTGAATACGAAATGCTTAAAATTTAATAATTTCTGTAATTGTTTTTTTTTTTTTGTGAATTCGGAAAAGTTACTCCTCTTCAGACTTTTGGAAATTATTAAAATGAGTCAATCTAAGAAGCGAAAAATATCTTTTTTTGGTTGACAGATCAGACATATGTACATTGCATACATTTTATTTCATTAATGTGTAAAGTACATTTTATTGCAGGTATAATGCTTAAACATAAACAAACGAATAGAGATAACAAAGAAATCCACTAAAATATTTCAAAAATAAAGCTTGTTTTAAAAAAGATCTTCAAATGTGTACAAACATTTGGTTTGATCTGCAAGTAATAGCTGCCGGTATAATATAAGAGACCACAACAACATAATTGCCATCACATTTCACTGCATAACAATATATATGATATATGATATGTATATGATCAAATCTAAAATCAAAAGTTGATCAGTTGCTACAGCATGTAGGCCGAATGTATAAACAGGTTACAACTCCATATCTGACATCTCTATAGTCCTGAAAATATTTTGCATCCTTTTACAAAACTGTTTTTCATTTTAGCTGCACAATGATAATAGAAAACAAAAATACTGTATTAACATTCAGACCACTTTTTCATAGTGAGAATATGATTCACTGAAATACCATGTAATTAAAATCTTGTTACAATACTCTAATATAATATAAAGCAAGCGTTTAATGCTGTCACTCTTGAGATTATTGCTTTAAGAAAAACCTTATATGAACTGTTTAAAAAAATATATATAGATACCTTGGTTTGAACATTTGAGGATCACTCCGTATCAGCTGGCTTCACAAGCTTCTCGTCAGCTGCCACAGTGTCTGTGTCGGACACTTCTGCTTTGCTTTCTTCAGTCGCGTGGGTTTGACAGTAATCATTGGCTGACTGAGTCTTGTTCTCGTTCTGCTTTGTCAAGGCGGAAATGTCCAAAATGGCCGCTGCATTCTGGTAGTCGCTGGATGTCTTGTCGAGCATGTTATGGTAGAGCTGCAAGAGGAAGGATTTAATGCTGCTTTTAGATCAGAGACAATGTTAACATGTCTGTACAGCTGTGGAGGTGTACGGGATGAAACTCAAATAGACTATTTCTCCCCACAATGCGTTGACCTTGCTCTACAGGCCTACCTGCTCCTCTCTGTCTGTCAGCTGATCACACATAAAGGACACCAGTTTGGAGAAAGATGGCCGGTTGCTGGCATCCAGAGCCCAACACTTACACATCATCCCGTACCTGGAGAAGTAAACCGTGGAGATGAAATATTTAGCAGGATTCTCAGTCATCCATAATAGCAAGAAGTCAAAGGTCGCTGCATTGCTGTATTTGTTTTGAAAACAGTGGTGGAAGAAGTACTCAGATCCTTTTCTTAAGTGAAAGTACCAACACAATAATGTACAAATACTCCATTACAAGTAAAAATTCTGCATTCATAATCCTACTTGTAGTAAAAGTACAGAAGTGTTATCAGCTAAATTTAGTTACAGCACCAAAAGTACTAAATGTCCCATTTCATCGCGTTATAAATATAATATGTTATTAGATAATTGTTACTTATGCATTAATATGTAAGAAAAAGTTGAAACATAACGGCTGCATACAGACAGGCGACACCTACACAGACTCGTTGGCGTAGTAGGGACAATCCATCTTAAATCCGCTTTCAATCATCGAATAGAACATGTGATCCACCTTCATGCCCGGGTACGGAGTAACACCTGAGAGTTACACAGACAGAGTTGGCATTAATCATTGCACAGGAATTGATTATATGCTCGTCTTTTAAATACACTGAGAGTGCTCGCAAAGGCTACCAAGTGAGAAGATTTCCCAGAGCAGAATGCCATAAGCCCAGACGTCACTCTTCATGGTGTAGATCCCCTGAAAGGTGCTCTCTGGTGCCATCCACTTCACTGGCAAACGCACCTGAAAAGCCATGTCACCCACATAATGTGTAAGAATGCAGAAATGGACAGAACATAGCAACCAATGAAAGCTATAAAATAAAAGTATCATACATTTCCTCTCACGACATAGTTGGAGTCGTTGTCGATGTCTCTGGCCAGTCCGAAGTCACCAATTTTCACCCGTCTGCCCTTTGTCACTAACACGTTTCGAGCTGCCAGGTCACGATGGATACACTGCAGACAGACAGGACCCATCATCAGGGTGCTTACTTAAATCTCACTACAATCCACAAAGACCAAGCCTGCGACTGTAGTTTGACATTGGAACATTTTGGTTATTTGTTGATATATCTATTTACTGGACTGGCATGTGAGTTTTGGAAGCTGACAACAACTTTACACATACGTTTTATAATGTCCATAAAAACCTGAATAAAACCATCTGGTAGGTGGAGAGTTTAGGGCTGCAATTCACAATAATATTTAATTATCAATTGATCTGCAGATGATTTTCTAGATTAACGGATGGATTGTTTGGTTTATAAAATGTCGTGTAACAATTTATAAAACCAAAGTTATTGTCTTCAAATAGCGGGTTTTCTCTACTATCCATGCAGGATGTAATACAAAGAAGAGAGAGAAGCCAGAACTATAGGGACTGAGACTTTGCTTAAAAATGAACCTAATGATTAATCAGTCATTATGTGTGGGTTGAGAGATGTAAATGTGGAGCGTTTCCACAGTTTGGACCTTCGTTTCTTACATTCTTGGAGGAGAGGAACTCCATGCCTTTGGCCACTTGGAAGGCAAAGCTGAGCAGGTCATCAAAGGTCAAGGTTTGCAGGTCCTCTGTCTGATCGTCCAGGTCTTCATGGATCATCGGGTCTGCAGATAAACTGGGGTCAGTTTGGATCAACACCACTCAGAGAGATCTGTTACTCTCTGCTTGGCCAACTGAAGGTTTTAATATACAAGTTTATCTGTTTGACAACATGCATGTTCTGATTTCAAGTATTTTTTCACCTTCAAAGCTGTCCATGTCACCAGAGTTGACGGTAAGGAGAGCGATCTCCTCCTGCCCTCTGGTGGTACAGCTGTACATGGGCACGTAATTGTCCACTGCTGTGTCTAGCTCACTGAGAAAACACAAACGAGACGTGATTGTTATTGTAAAGTTACACTTTCAACAGAGTCATTTTACCAATATGCCGGCACTTATATAGAATCTTGTCTTTATGTTTGATCTCCCCTTATTGCTAAACTATTCCCAATATTGCTCTTCCAACCCCTCGTTTCCTGTCGTTCCCACCCAAAGCTTTTCCTGGGCTGCAGGTTGTGGTAAAGGCTGCTGAAACGGTCCTTGTTGAACGCGTCGGTCACAGACTTGTGGTAGCGCTCTCTGTTTGTCTTAAGGTAGTTCAGTAGATCTCCATAACAGCAGTACTGGAAAATCAGGTATGTGGGTCCTGTAAACGGGAAAACAAATAATGAATCATGGCACAAGATGTATCATCCCGATCTGACAAAAGTATTAGCAGTATAGTGGTAACTGTACCCGAGTCTGTGCATGCTCCAAGCAGGTTAACAATGTTGGCATGGTGACCGATGTGAGTCAGCATCTTCAGCTCTGACATCAGCGCTTCCTTCTCCACCGTCTGGTGTTTCTCTGCAGCGTCAAATATCACATCAGCTGCTTAAACGACCTCCATAACATTTTTTTTTGCATTTTGCTCACGGAATAAATAAATGAAACACTGACCTTTAAGCATCTTGACGGCCACCTGCTGTGAGACTCCAGGCTTGTTGATGCCATAAGCTGTAGCCTGGACCACCATGCCAAAAGCCCCAGAGCCCAGTTCTTGACCTGGTGAGGAGACAGAGACACACGAAAGTATAACTTTATTGCCACATTGTAATGAAACTTGGAACAATAACGTAAAAAGTCTGAAAGTGGTTGAATGCAACTAAGAACATTTACTTACTGTACGTAAGTGCAGTTTTGAGGTGCTTATACTTTATATTTTTTACTTCTCTACATTTATTTGTGAGCTGAAGTAACTTTTTAGATAAAAAAAACAATGCACTGCTAAAGACTAAATCGGTGGTACCTAACGTTTTCTATTTTAGATTTTGGCCTCCTACAAAAGAGTAAGTAAGTGTCCCGTTGGGGCCCCTGGTCAGTCTTCAGATGTTTATGAGTTATTAGTAGTTCAACCAAAGACTGGCTTCCCCTCTAAACTTCTCAGATGGGTTCATTTAAATAACTGTACAAGGCCCAAAAATATAAAACTCTCAAATTTGTAATGAAAAAAGCAAAAATTAGAAAAATTTCTTTAAGATGAATCCAATTTCATGAAGCAGAATGTCTCCTTCTTTCTTCTCCCATCAATCATGTTGCAATTGTGACCCTTTGAGGGTTCCAAACCCCTAGGTTGGGAACCACGGAAGTAAACTTCCCAACAACATGTATGGTAGTTAAAACTAAAAGCTTCATCTCGTCAGCTGCAACAGTAAAATGCTTCTAACACATTGATGCATCACTTTTAACAATCTATTCAAAATAAATCTGTCACAGTCTGCACAACTTATTCTATTTTCTTTTAATACTTTAACTAAATTAAGCTGATACTATTTTTGTACTAAGCAGGATATGAAACTCAGGGGTTTTACTTGTAAATAATTATTTTCACGTGGTAACATTGGCACTTTTCCTTAAGTAAAGGATCGGAGTACGTTTTCCACCACTGAAGTCTGTTATCATGTCTGATGCTCGGTGTGGTTCGTACCCAATTCTAGGTTCTCCCTGGGAAACTCCCATTTCAGGTCGTACCCAAACTCCTTGAAGTTTATGTAGATGTAATCGTTGTCATTGGGTCCAACCATCTGGATAATCTGAAGCTGGGGCTGATACTGGGGTTTCTATTGGAAACAGAAAGGGGTTGGCGTCATGTCCTCATGTGTGTTTGTGTGTGTGTGTGTGTGTGGGTGTATGTTTGTCAATGTGTAGTACATACCTTCTTTTTGACAAAGTACATGAGCACCACGGTAACTATTGCCAAAGCCAGGAGCAGAATCAAACTGCCTACTTTCAGCACCATCAAGCTGCCGTCATCAGTATTTGCAGAACCTAAAAACAGGGATGACAGATAGTTTCTAATAACAGTCATAAAAAACATAAATAAAAAGTCATTATTTTGATGTGAAATCAGTCTTGCTACCTGTGGAGTGCAGGAGTAACGGTGAGTAGTTTACTGAGTATTGGATTTTGCACCAGGAGTCAATTGAGTTTGTCAGGCAAAACTTTAAACGATGTCCATCCACTAGATCTCTGCTCAGAGAGCTCTTGATTGTCTTCTCACAGGAGACATCTGAGTCTGTTTGAGAGGCCTCTGGGATCTCCTTCCAGGAAGAGTCTGTTTCACAGATGCTATAATACAAAGAGTCGGGACTTAAGGAAATCTGAATCTGAGTGTGTCTGTGCGTATGTGTGTGTGTGTACATTAACAGGCTACAATGAGCATACCTGTCATTCGAAGGACACGACATCCAGGTATAATTTGCTGGCACGAGACTTGCGGTCTCAACGGTGAAGGGTTTATTGACCTCGTTATTCCCGAATTTGAACTTTGGTGTGTCTGAAACAAAGTCAGTGGACAATAAGCGTTTGTAATGCAAGTTTTAAAAGTGATAGAATTGTGCAGAATTTACCTAACAAATGTTAAACATTCCAGACACACACAATAAATCTCTCTTACCTACAACACACACTGATATAGTCTTTGTTTCTTTTCTTCCGCCAGCCTCCAGGTGTAATTTATAATCTCCTGACTTGAGTACATCACATCGCTTTACGGTCCTGAGAAGACAACATTCATATGAAACCCCCCAAAAGTCTTCAATAACATACCTCGTATGATTATAATTTACAAAAGGTTAGTTCACTGACCATCCGCATGTAGAAATGTACATGAGCATTAATAGACAACTATGCAACATTTTGAGGAGTTCAGCTCCACGGACATTGCTTCATGCAACTACCTGTGTTTTGTTACCCAACTGTCCCTGATGCAGTTAGTCATGTTTTTATCAGGATCTTCCCAGGAGCAGTGCTGGAGCACAGGGTGGTAGGAAACACTGGCTTGCAAACAGGAGCTTAATGCATTCTGAGCTGGTATGGTCAGGCTCTTATCCAGCTGGACAGAGAGGAAACCCTCAGCTACGGAGACACAAGAAGGAAATCAGTGCATGCACAAATGGTACAAACGGGACTAAACTTTAGAAAGAAGCATTCATTGGTAACAGTTGAAATTACTACACAAACAGAGAGAAAAAATAAAGTTTGAAAAATAAAATTTGTTCCGCTAACCTTGGACATGAACGTCAACAGACCTTGTTTTGTGGTTTTGACTCCTGCAGGTGTATGTGCCACTGTGGTCCACATTAACTGACTCGATGAACAGGTAAGACATCCAACTATTTTCATGGCCGTCATTTCTAAAGCAAATCTGGGATAAAAATATATTGTTGTTGTGATTTGAGTGGGAAAGACAAACATGAAAGGAAATAATTCAAATTTGAATTCAAAGAAAAATCTCAGTGATCTCAGCAGGAATTACTGTACCTCGTTCTTGACTTTAGAAGAGCATTCTAATATTGGGCCGTTGATGTTTTTGCCGCCCTTCTCCCACACAGGTGAAGGCTGTTGTTTTTTTCGGCAGCGTAGAAGTAAAGACTGACCAGGGCTCACGATGTCATTGGAAACTTCATTTAAGTCAGTGTCCAGGTCTGAAACACACAGTAAGGACTCAAGTCAATGACTTTTTAAAAATGTAGTCTAATAATTGTTTGCTATGATTATTAGAGACAGTCCCTAGGTTGTAAATTATTTCTACTCCGACCTTTTCAGGTGGTTGATGTGAAAACTGACCAATTCGATTTTGTCTGTGACCATTTATTATGAATAAATCATTTGTAGGATGTATTTAATGAATTTTTAGAAACATTGAATTACCGTAGTCATAGAGTTGAGAGCATTCTTGTCCTTCAGCGTTGGTAGCACAGCACATCACTCCACTCTTAGAAAACCAACTACTGGATACACTGCTAATTGCCATTACACTGTTTGCAGTAACAACGGCCCGATTATTGTTTCTGTTCAAAAGGGGGATTATTCAGAAAATCACACTATTATAAGATGTTTTTTGATAAAGTTAGAGTCAGTAGACTACATTGTTATCAACTAAACATATAAATCATGCATACATGTGTAGTGAATAACATCTTACCCGGACCATTCAAGTGTGGGCTTTGGGAAGCCCTCAGAGATGCATGTAAAAAAAGGGGAACGCCTTTTGTTATCCACTTTGTCCAGTGTCAGCTTTGGTTTTGTGGGACGTTCTTGAAAAAAAAGAGTAAATTGTCAACATTTTATCAGCATCAAGCAGTCCAGTGTTTGTTTGCTGTCTTGAGTCTTAGCATTGTTTTAGAGAGGTGATGAGACAGAGAGAGAGAGAGAGAGAGAGAGAGAGAGAGAGAGAGAGCTGTTACTCACTCATTACTACATGCAGAGACACAGCCAGTGAGGACCTGGTCCCTTCGCTAGTTTCACAGATCAGCGTAAACTCCCCTGAATCTGTCTCAGAAAGCGGTGGTAGGACCATGGAGTTACTCCCATTTCTGATAAAGTTTAAGAAAACCCCTCAGTTTAAATATATACACATAATACAAAAGGGGAAACACACCTAAATACACACACATAGAAATTCACTTACACTGTCAGTATTGGGTCTGCTCCTCTGATCCAGTGGCAAACAGGGAATTCAGAGAAGTCCTCCAAGGAGATGATGAGTTTCTGACCAACGCACACCTCTACGCTGACAGAACCAGATGCATTCTGATAGTCAGCTGGCACAAAACATGCAACCTGAAAGACAAGATTCACCATTTCATGATCCTGCATTAACTAGCTTTTGATGTGGTTGCGTGATTAAGGTTGCAAACTATGATGCAAACTACGGTATGTAGCTTCATAAACAAAAAAGGCTGACTTTTATACCAAAGACATATATTATTTACTATTTGATATCTGTGTTTTAATTATAAATCATCCACAAGACCAAATATACCAAGCTAAATGGAATTCCCTACATGTCAAAAATAATAACTTTAACAAGTTGTCTTGTGTCTGCTTTTAAAAGGTGTCATCATTTAAAGGTTATACTAAAATGATGCATAAACGGACACACTTCAAACTGATGAGCAGAATTAAAACCAGTACATTTTGTCAAGTACGTGCTAGTTCCCGCTCTGGTGTTTCACAACCTCTTGTTGCTCTGCAGCTTCGTTTCTAAGTGAATCCAAGACAATCAAAGTATCTTTATTTAATCTGCTATATGGTCGTATGGAAGACACAGTTAATTACATGCATGACAACAATTTATGTGCCGGACTAATGCACTTAAAAAAGCAAACATTAAATAACATTATCTAATATTATCACATTATATTATATTATCTATAAAACCTGCCATCTTAATGTACTGTATATGTCACTAGTTTACATTCCTTTTACATTCAGTGGAGTTTACCAATAATTAATAGTTTCCCATAACTCAGTAATGTTTCTGAAATAGACAGTAACTCAGAAATAGATGTATTATATAATACTATAATATATGTATAATTAATTGGAATTGTTCAGTTAAAACACAGGAGAGATCCCGACGGCTTTTACGTCATGACTGGGCACACAATCCGGATTCTGCGCTGCGATGCCATCAGAGCACTGAAGCTGGACAGCACACAGAAGAAAGACAACTAGAAAGACAGAAAAATTGAACTTCATTTCAAAAGTTGTTTTCTGAATAGCCTGAGGCAATTTAAAGAGAAGCGGATATTTTAAAGAGATGTGAGAAATGCAATCATAAAAACAAGAAACTAATATTTTCATAAAGGTAAGTCAATTGCTTATAGCTTATGCCCATTATGTGGTTTATTACATTGGTTATACAGGATACATTGTGTAGTTAGATACTTTATAATGTCTGAAACAATGTTTTAAACCTGAAAACTCATTCACTCATTAGGTTATTGCAGGAACACACACATTCTAGGGTTTAGATATTTGGTATTTCTTAATTCCAACACAGCAGCATGTTCCCTTTGTATGATGAACGATAAATAAAGTGTCATCCTCTCTACAAAAGTCACTTTTTATCTAAGGTTCCTCATACTGTTATTGAAGTACAGCTTAATGTCAACATTGAACGGAATGATTCACAATTTAACATTTGGTATTGAGGTAAACTTCTTCTCCAGCGATTTGATCTTCAAAAATGCAATATGAAAGATATTATCCTACCATCATATTTCAATATATTAAGCTAAAGAGTCGGAAAAATGTTTAAATTTATTTAATTTATAGCCTAAACATCCTTAAATCCTCTTTTTTTATTCACTCTGCCAACACTGCTCATAACTCAGCCCAATGAAAGGAAACTTGAAGAAGTCTGACTCACCCGCAATCATATTTCTTCTCTGCCTCCGCACTGATGCTGTCAGTGTCACATACTCAAAGTCATTACAGGCCAGAAAGCGAAACTTTGATGTAAAAAATACGTGGGTGAACCTTATAAACAGAGGAAGTATTGCACTGGAAACGATGACATTGTCAGCCACGCCTGCAACATGTGTGTAAAAAGAACCGTGTAAAAAGACCGAAGGATAATCAGAAATGTACAAGAACATTTAATTATAATGTCACAATGGAATATCATGGGTCAAAATACCATATACAATCATGTACATGTCGTTATAATGTCGTACTTAAAGTCATTTTAGACTTCTGGGAGAAAAATGATAAGAAAATAAACAATAGGACTGTATATATACTTTTGAGTAAATTATGCTTAATTTGTGATGAAACCAAGTGAGAGCAGACAAATTGAAACGAGATCTGGATTTTTAACATATTTATTTCTGATAAAATTGTCATGATTTTACATTTCTTACCGGAGATAATTTCACCTCTCAAATATTTAATTGATTTTTATTTGTAACAATAAACACTGCATTATTTATATTATTGTTTTGCACATCCGTTGGTTTTGTCCTGATGTTGTTTTTTTCATGCATCTGTTTTCTTCCGTGCAGAGAATATAAGATTATATAAATCCAGTTATTACATATGGAAATAACCTATTTTGACGGCTTAAACTAGGGCACTAAGGGGCATTGACGCTGCGAACTTGGCTCAAAAGACATTCACCCTTTCATCTGCTTTATTCGTTTGCATATACAATATCACTGTGCGGTAGATTCAATTTACGGCTCGCATTTGCAGCAGGTAAACTCTGCCAAACGCTGTACCCACAATGCAAAGCTATGCTAGCGAGTCCCTAGCAGAGCAGCCTGGCTGTGAGCAAAAAAAACAACAACAGGCTACTTTCCGAAGAAGGCAGCTGCATGGATAGCGACAACAACGACGACCAGGATTCCACGCATGCAAAGATATTTTCTTAAACCAAACTGCATCTTAGCCTTATAATGTGAGTACTGCAGGGTTTTGAGTGTTCTTCACCAGCCGAAGTGATATTAATCCGCTCCTTTAAGGGGAAACTGTTTGCAGGCTAGCTGGCTAGCTCGCTAGCTATCTGCGTCTCTCTATGTTTGAGTGTCTTCCGGCAGCAGCGGTGGCGGCAGCAGCGGTGCCATGAACAGTGGACTCCCAGCCTCAGCTGCTCCGCTTGGGGGTGCCGGAATACCCAATGTCAAGGTGAAGTTTTGCCGATATTACGCAAAAGACAAAACCTGTTTTTATGGAGAAGAGTGTCAGTTCCTGCACGAAGATCCGTCCATGGCAGGCTTACCGCTGCACGGTGGCGGTAGCCCCGTCCCGTTGTCGATGGCTGCAGGTGGCGGGACTCCCGCGGTGTATTCTCTAGGCGGCCCCGCGGCGGCCTGTCCGGGGACCAGTGTGTCCAAGAAAAGTGAAACATTGGCATTGGGTCCTGCAGGCGCATCTCTCGAGGGGCAGCTGTTAACAAGTGAGTAACAATTACAGCAAAGACGAGGCCTCACACGGGGTGACTGACTCTGACTTTACTTTTGGGCCTTGTTGGGCTTTGTTAAAATCTAGCTCGGGGATTCATTGAGGCCTCGTCACCCCAAAACAACGTGGGTTACATTCACCTGCCAAACATGATGCAAAACCTTCAGTGTGCAACTAGCACACATTGTGCTCGTTAGCGGTCTTGTGAATAACGTTTTTTCCGGTGGTAATGTTGTAAGTTATGATTTGTGACAACGTGTAATATTAGCCATGCTGTTGCAGCTCGCACGGAGGAGGCCTGTGTTTTTGTATGACAGCTGTGAGTGGGAAAAACTCCGGGACAGCTAGTGTAGCTATTAGCCAGCTAGCGTTAGCTTAACTAGCTTCAAATCGACCGCTTTAATAACTTTAATGCGTGTGGCTTTGCCTTCTAATAAGCTGTATCAATTGTAGTACTAGCGCCGTTAGTTTACGCCCTGTTAAATGTTTTAAGTGAACTGTATTGTTACTGATAAATGTAGTTTTAGTTTACTGTTTGCTAACATTAGCGTAGCCACGCTAGCTCTTCACGGGGCATTGATTTAGCATTGTGTTTCCCAACGTAAACAAAATCCACATGCAACTCAAAAGCTAATCACGTTCTCTTTAACCTGGAACCATTGAAACCAGTAACGCAATTTTTTTGGGGAAACGTGTATTAAATGATGCTCAGTTATATCGCCCTGTGGTAGACTCGAATTGTGGCTCACACTGTAATGTTAGTTGCAGAACTGTTTACATGCTTTTAAATTAGCTCTGTGTTTGTGGCTTAGCGAGCATGCAGTAGTACTGACATGCACGTGCATAATTAACTTTGTGGTTACATAATTATAACTCTTATAGTTATATTAATCCTTCTCTAATTAGTTTTTGCTAAACTTTGGTTTCTGTCATCCACAGTCCCAGGGATGGAAGGTGCCACCCTGAGTGATTCCAATCTCACCAACTCTTACTTCAGCAGCAGCTTTATTGGGGTCAATGGGTTTGGAAGCCCAGCAGAGACTAAATACTCAATGATGCAGGTAGAAAAAGGGAAGCTGTCGATTCAAGTCAGTGTGAACATACAGCGAGAAAATTCATGTCATTATGGTCACGTTGCTGTCGTAGGGCCTCGCGTAAACTGAGGCACTACAATAGTTGTTGAAATGTTTTGCTTGTATTTATTTATTATATAGTTAGTTTAAATGTTTTATTTGAATTCACACATTTTATCATAACACAATGATATTTGCTGCTAACTTTGTGATAAACAGTTATGAACATTAGAGTGTCTTCTGTAACATTTCTGATCTTGATGCTGTTCTCTTTAGCGAATGACTACCAGCAGCAGCTCTCCCAGCCTCAACGATGGTGCCAAGAACTTCAGCCACAGCACTCATGGTAAGACTCAGTGCTCAGCGGAGCAGTGTGCAGTACTCATCCATTGAATGTTGAACCACTGCTCAACTGTTGTACACTTTTTGGTCTCTACAGATCCAGTGAACTCCCCGACATCCTCACTGTTCAGTGATTTTGGTGCTCTTAGTATTTCCCAAAGGAGAAAGGTGAGCATACAAGCATCTTATCCAAATCAGTGAAGTGCTTTTTAAAGTTCATTACTGTTCTTTTTATATGAGCATGTAGTTGAGACTTAACTAGGATAAGTTTGCCATCCTTGTTTTTATTGCCTCCAACAGAAGTGGTAGATTTAATGTAAACTTTTCTTGTGCCACCAGACTCCTAACCCGGCAGCAAGTGAGTTCATCCCTAAGGGAGCTCCACATATGGCCACCATGGTTCAGTCCCCTGTCCAGGCCTTCCCCTCGCCTCTCTTCCCACATCCTGGCCTCAGCAGCTCTACAGCTGCTGCGCTGGCTCCTGGTGAGGGTTTTTGCAGCATCAATGACCGATTAAACCGCCTCATTATATCTGCTTTGCTACACTTTCTACATGACGCAGTTTTGGTTTCTTTCTTTAGCTCTGAATTTTTATAGTTGAGCAAGTTTGGGAATTCCCACATGTGCTACTGTTGAAACAAAAGCAGACTCTCTCTGTCTCCAATTGCAGGTATGTCTCTTTCTGCGGGATCTTCTCCTCTCCACTCCCCAAAAATTACACCGCACACCTCACCTGCTCCACGTCGGCGCAGTCACACCCCAAACCCTGCCAACTACATGGGGCCCACAACTGCAGCTGACCAGGGTGCTCACATGATCCAGAAAGAAACTGTAGGGGGGACCACCTACTTCTACACAGACAACACCCCGGCACCAATGGCTGGGATGGTATGTGCTGCACATAGTGTACTCCTCTGTATTTTAGTTAGGAAATACTAAAGCTGGGAATAGACTAGAATACTTTTGAATTCCTAACCAAACGCAAAGATGCAGATGACATTTGTAGAAATGGATTGTAAGCAAGGAAACTGCATTTAAATCTGTCTGCATTTAATCCATTATCGGATCTGAGGTTCTTTTGAGAAGCAAGAGCGTTGACCCGCAAATTCCTGCATACGACCCTACACTTCAGTCTGTGAGCTGCCCCCCCTTTTTTTTGTGCCGCCACTGCACATACTTAAAAACCACACTCATTGTGGTCAGTGTATAATTAGGCTTCAGATGACATTTTGTTGCCTTCTTAACACGTCATTAAAATCCTGATAAGTGTTTCGTTACTTCATATTCATTTGCGTAGCTCTGAACTAATGGTTAAAAAAAAATTACATATCTGATCACACTGGTTTTCATTTCTCAATAAATAGGAAGCTGTGTTTTTCTGGTTTCATCGCAGGTGTTTCCTACGTACCATATCTATCCCCCCACTGCGCCCCATGTGGCTTACATGCAGCCAAAAGCCAATGCCCCGTCCTTCTTCATGGCAGATGAACTCCGACAGGTATTTTCCACTTGCGCACCTCCCTTTTTCAGTAAATATTTCCCTCTTCTTCATCTCCAGAGGTAATGTCTGATGTGATGCCCTCTTATTTATCTTCCAGGAGTTGATAAACAGACATCTGATAACTATGGCCCAGATTGACCACTCAGAGAACACAGGTACATTGTTGTCACAACAAAGGGGTCGTTATTGATTCAATCACTTCTCTTGCAGAAATAATTTTTGCCATTCACAAAAAGTGTGCTTTGTATTGACAATTGTGATGCTATTGTTGGCTCACAAGTAAACAAACCTGCATTGCTTACTCAAACAAATGTGGAGTTGATTTCCTCATGCGAGTGTGGAAGCGTGTTGAAATGTGTTTTTGGTCTTTTGAGGTTTTTGCTTCATATTTTTTTTTTTTTTTTTTTTTTTTTTTTTTTTTGTCATTTGTCAGTCGTACAACAATGGGCGGAAATTGTGAAATTACCCTATGGTATAATCTAGTGCTGATTTAGTATTGGTCAAAACAAAAAATTCTACATTTTGGCTATGACCTAGAACTTGCTTCAAGTTGTTATGTGTTTTTGATTGCGCATGTTATTTATGTTTTTTTCTTCTTCTGAAACTACGTCTGTCTTTGGTAGATGTACCGTCTGAGGTGGACAGCTACCACAGCCTCTTCCCGCTCGAGGCCCTCCCCCCACCAAACCGCATGCAGAAGACCAGCAACTTCAGTTACATCACCTCCTGCTACAAGGCGGTCAACAGCAAGGATGACCTGCCTTACTGCCTGAGGAGGATACACGGTAATAAATATGTTGATGACAAATTGTCTTCCAAAGTACTACAACACATATGTCACACAACCAAAAATGCAATTTCAGGAAGTATGTAATGGTGTATTGACTTTTAATGTCTGAACAAATAAGAGCACTAATGAAGTTTGTTTTTATTTGTCATTTTGATTATGATGAGCAGTGCAGGACATGTGTGAGGATTCCTCTCGTACATTAGAATAAACATGAAATGCACGTGTTGTGGCTGTTATCCTATTCAAAGATGGCCCAGGGTGTTGTGATGGTGTAACATATATTTATATTTCTAATTGTCTATTTTCTGTGCCGTGTCTCTTTTAAAATGTAAACAGGTTTCCGCCTTGTTAACACCAAGTGTATGATGCTGGTGGACATGTGGAAGAAAATTCTGCACTCAAACTCTGTAACACTGAGGGAGGTCTTCACCACGAAGGCCTTTGGAGACCACTGTGAGTGTTTTGTGTATAACCATTTTTTATGTACAGGACTCTATTTTTGTGTCTTCTGGATATAGTAATGGTTTACATGACCCAGACCTACACGCTCCACAATTTTATTCCATTATATACAAAAAAGCTCAAATATACAGTGGGTTGGTATACTTGTTCTGCAGTGTTGCATTCAAACTCTATTTTATGGATATTTGTCATCAACGTTTTGCTTTCGTTGCCCTCAAAAGTTAGTAATAGTGAGGAAGAACCCGATTGGCTGATAGAGAGCTTGTGCTGTCAGCAGACGAGCTGGTCACTAGGATTACTCTGAGCAGCATGTATGGAAATGAATCAAAATATAATAAGTGGCCGTTTTCAATCGGTGAATCTGTAGAGCCGGACAAAGTGGCAATAATTAGCCTTTTAGCACTGTTTATTAACTTTCCCGTATGTCTCGGTTTGTCCTAGCGTTGGTGTTCTCCTATGACTTCCATGCGGGTGCAGAAACCATGTTCAGCAGACACTTCAATGACCCAGCAGCAGATTCGTACTTTACCAAGAGGAAGTGGGGTGAGTTGGTCTTCCCACCCTTCCACCTTCACAATGAAAATGAGCCAGCATCACCTCAGACGCCCATCTTCACCCCTCTGCTTCAAACATTTTTAGTTTGTTTACTTGGTCGCTAATGAGGTTATCAACTATGGTTTATTTGCGTGTGCGTTTTTTAAGGTTTGCTGTGCCTGCAGTTGTGCTCACATCCGGTGTTTGAGGGTTTAGTGGTATACACAAAACAACACGGTTTACTTAAAAATAAAGACACATCTCCCTTCAAGCCTAGAGGCCTTAATCTAATCTACTTGATGCTTCAAAGAAGATTCAAGTGTTTGGAGTTTGTGAAGTTTCCTAGTTTGACAGTTAGCATGTGTGTGTCTGTGCGATTGAGACATGGGGACTTGAAGGAAACTGTGGCTGAAACTGATCCTAGGGCAGGTGCTGTCAGGTCTACCTACAGGAGTGCAGACAGAGGAAGCAAAACCATTTAGATCCTGGTCTTTGTCTAATCTGTATCAAAACACTGATAACAAACTATAACCTATGAATTGTGTAGAATTGCACAGCGGGACATACTCAGAAATACCTCAAAGGAACTGCGTCATAAAGTGCAAATTCATTTCTTTCTTGAACAGCCTTATGGGAAACACATTTTGGCCGTCTCATTGTTGGTGTGAAATTATGGTTTGTTGTACAGTCCACACCTTTACACTCAACACACAATGCCAGAGTAACATTACCCAAATACCAACCTTATGGTTGTGGTAAGAGTTACAAAATATTATATGCAAGACACAGAACCGAAGGTAAACTTGATTTGTGGGAACAGTGAGTTGAAATTCCTCTTTTGTTTTGCTCATACTAGAGCTGAAGACCAATCGACAAAACATGAAAAGCCAATTATTTTGATAATTTTTTGTAATTCTTTAAGCAATAATGTCAAACAGCCCTGAGATCCAGATCTGCCATTGTGAGGATTTTAGTTTGATATAATTGTTAACTGAATATCTTTGGGTTTTGGACTGTTGTTCAGACAAAGTAAGCAATTAGAAGACGTCACCTTGGACGTTAAGAAATATATGTTGTTTATAATGTTGTAGAGATTAATCAGCAGATTAGGTTAGTTGTGATTTAGATTAGGAAAATTTGGTTAGATCAACGGAAAATGACGCGTCTTACTGACATCACAACTGCGGGTTTATCCTGCAGATATGAACTCCAAGGAAGTTGATGACAGTTTGAGGTTCACTTCATGAGTAATGTCTAACCCTGCAGGCTGCATTTGTGTGATAAAGCATGTCTCTTATGTGCAGGGCAACATGAACCTCCCCCGCCACGGCAGCATGCAGGTCTGCTCCCCGAGTCTCTGATCTGGGCCTACATTGTCCAGCTCAGCTCGGCCCTGCGCACCATCCACACCGCCGGCCTGGCCTGTCGTGTCATGGACCCCAGCAAGATTCTTATCACTGGCAAGACCAGGTACACGGCACACATCAATAGCTCATCATTCAGCATGGGTAGATGAATATGTCCATCTCCTCCTGGGAGAGCGACCCCTCCTCTGTTGCTCTCCCTAAGGTTTCTTCCTTTTTCCTGCACCGATGTGAGGGTCTCGGGACTGAGGATGTTGCATGTGTAAAGATTGTAAAGCCCCCTGAGGCAAATTTGCGATTTTGGGCTAAACAAAATTAATTGAATATAACTTATTAGAGCCTGCCTCTTATAGTCATCAATGTTGTACAGAGCAGCACGAATTTCAATGTTTACTGTAAATAGATTAAAAGCAGAAGTGTATTTTCAGTTGACGCTTCCCTTTTCACAACTTTGTGGTTGTGCACACTCAATACACTCAGACATGCACGTAAACGATTGATGATAATGTTCTCTTGTCTCTACAGGTTACGGGTGAACTGTGTTGGGGTGTTTGATGTCTTAACCTTTGACAGCAGTCAGACCAATCATCTTGCCCTAATGCCACAGTACCAGGTACTTTTTATGATGTCGTTTGTGGTCACTGACACATGAATATACATTAAAGAAGTGCTGTATCTCATCCACTTAATTTCAGCATGTGTAGGTAAGCACTTTTCAAAATGGGACTTTATCTGTGATGTGTGTTTTCGTTGTTTAGCAAGCAGACCTAGTGTCGCTGGGCAAGGTGGTGCTAGCGCTGGCATGTAACTCACTGGCTGGTATTCAAAGGGAGAACCTGCAGAAGGCCATGGAGCTGGTGTCCATCAACTACTCTTCAGACCTCAAGAACCTCATTCTGTAAGAAAGTTGTTATCCTTGAACCCTCAAAATAGAATTATAATCAAAGAATCCCAAAAATATATTGTTCAGGTGCAACAAATCCAGACTAGCCTATCAGACAAAGCTGGGATCTGGTTAGCCAGCGACCTTTGCTGCCATCGTATATGTTTGAGACGATTTTAGGTCTTAAAGTTAGGCTATAGTCAGCCTATTAACATGAGTCTGAAACGGGCCAATTAAAAGTGTGTCAAGTTTTAAGTGTTTACATTATCGCCTTTTGTACACGAGTAGAGCAGCAATTGAATACCCATAAAAAGGCTGCTTTAAGACTCGAGTGTTGTCCCTTAAATGTTCTCTCTGAGTCGGGTTTCCGCCCTTTCCAACTCTCCTGTAAACGGATGTCTTTGTGCAGGTATCTGCTGACTGAACAATCTCGCATGCGCAGCGTCAATGACATTATGCCGATGATTGGAGCTCGATTCTACACACAACTGGATGCATCGCAGATGAGGAACGATGTCATTGAGGAGGATCTGGCTAAGGTATGGATGGGAAGGGCGCTGCTTTTCTGTTAAATAACACAACGGGAGAGTTTGTGTCGCACAAGGCACGGAGCAGAAAGCCTGCATGAGTATGCATGCTTTGGTTGTGTTCTTGTCAGTGTGATATTCTTGGGTGGTGGCCGGAAATAGGCCATTGGTTTAGTGAGCTCGGAGGGAAGTTGTGTGCACACAGGAAGTTGTATGGTCTATCGTAGGCTCCGCAGTCTCGCTTTGAATTTAGTCTCCCCGTGTTAAGAGTGCGAATATGTGAACCAACCGACCCTCTTTTTCTCACTCAAGCCCCAACTTCCTTTTTACACCCTGACTCTGTTCACATCCACCCAACAATTTAGATATTCGTGTTGGTGTTTTTACGTCCTAACCTCAAAAGACTTCTGCCTTTTGTTCGATGTCCATCGGGTCTCACAAGGTGTCGGCAACAAAAGTTCAGAGAACAGCTGATGATTAGAACAAGACAAATACCAGTCTGCAGTAATACACGGGGCTAGAAAAATAGTTAATTTTCTGGCCAAACCTGCTTGTGATCTGCTGAGAGAGAGAGAGAGAGAGAGAGAGAGAGAGAGAGAGAGAGAGAGAGAGAGAGAGAGAGAGAGGTGTTCTGGTTTATCAGACCATCTCTGCGTAATGTGTGTCTGCACACATGGATCAGTAGCTGTGTTTTTATTTGCCCGGTGAGCCTTTTTGTTACAGAAAAACTTTTGAAACTCAAAAACATCATTTTTAAATACAAAAATCTGCACTAAGACCAAGAACAACACAAAGTTTTTGTTTCATCTCTTATCAATCCTGAGTGTAACTGGTCCGTACTATGGAGCAGGGTTTCAAGAATGCAACACCATTGTTGTGTCAAGCTGCTCACTGCTATTGTTTTCAGTTTTAGGTTTAAAGTGTGTGTGTGTGTGTGTGTGTATATGTGTATATATATGTTGTATGTTTTTCACTTTTGACTTCATTTAAACAAATAGATTTGAGCAAGAATACTATGTTCTGCACAGCATGCAAAGTTGTCGTCATTATGCACGTTCAAAAAAATACACATTATCCGAGATGCTTCTGAGCTGAACGGGATTCCTAAATTGAACGTCCGTGCTCTTCTTGAGCAGAAGAAGAGCACTAATCTGTTCCTGCTGTCTGTGTTTCTCGACATCAGTGCGATATCTGCAGACAGCTGGTAAGCTAGCGTTAGCGACCCAAGAGGTAGAAACAGACTTAAATAAATATAATCTGAACACTTTTCAGTCCAACTCTTGTCTTCGTGTGAAGAGATCCGATCAATGAGCAGAAACTTGAAGTCATGTTTTTGACCAGAGACCACTAATCTAACCATCAGCTACACTACCGTTTGACTGAAAATAATCATATTTGTGCATATTGTGATAACTCAATTTATCATGAACCCTACTCTAAAATGTAAAAACATGAAATAGATAAAGATGCAAGTCATTTCAAGTTGTTTGAGACAATGAGGAAGGGACTTAAGGTGCAGACGCTATCTGTCCTAAAAATCAAGATGATGTAACATTTTCATTTACTAATCCAATGTTGGCAAACTCTGTTTCCAAACAATAAGCAATTCAAGAGCAACTGGTGTTACGTGATCGGTTAATTGGCTTTCAATAATTTTCACTTTGCTCAACAGTGCAGAAAGAAATTGACAGGGTGAGACAGAGAGAGAGAGAGGAGGAGAGGCAGGAGTAAATTATATCTGCAGAGGTGAAAGGTGAGCTACAACTTGTTGACAATAATCTGATGTGGTGTCCCTTACCGCCAGTAATCCTCTGTGGGTGCTCATTTTAAAGTATTACAGCAGCTCGCCCACTTAACATTCAAATAACTCAGCTGACGTCTTCATTGGTCGACAGTTGGTTGAGATGGTGATTGCTGTCTTGGACTTTGTTTAAGTGACAATTAGAAGAAACTGCGCACAAGAATAGTTGCATTTAGAAGAAAATGCAGCTTCTTCTGGTTGACTTTTAGTAAGGAGGAAGTGTCTTCTGGAACTGGTTCCAGCACCATGTATGGACAGAAAGTCTAGCAACAGAGGTTTCAGTTTCTGACATAGTTCCCTGCAGGGATGGGTTGTCTTATTATTTTAAAGGTCCATTTTACGGAGCAATTCTTCCCTTATTACCATTAGAAAGGTTTGTTCATTCATTAACTCATAAATGGTGCAATGTGTAAAATCTGGCCAGACTTTTAGTTCTAGACATTCAAAAGTAGAACTAACATTATCGACAGAATATGAAGAGGTTAGAGTGTTGACGTTACGTCAGAGACGCCTATGTATTGTGTTGCGGAGATATCTACTGAAGTTAGCATGCTAACAGCTAGCCCCAACCCGTACCGTCTTGTGATACCACTTGTACCTCGACATGTGGTGGTGAGACACTGTGGCACCCTGGTAGGCGAATGGTTACACATGAGATATGTGTTTTAATAGATGTATTTTTCCCTCTTCTCCTGCCGACCTTCTCCTCCCGACTAACCCACCAAAACAAGTCGGGTAAATATTCATTTCTTTTTTTGCAGGAGGTGCAAAACGGCCGTCTCTTCCGCCTGTTGGCCAAACTGGGCACCATCAACGAGCGGCCAGAGTAAGTAACACTGGTGTAAAGATCCGCCTGCGTGTGTGATTTGTGATCGCGTTACTACTCTGTGACCTTGTGTTGTGTTGTGTGACTCAGGTTTCAGAAAGACCCGTCGTGGTCGGAGACGGGCGACCGCTACCTGTTGAAGCTTTTCCGGGATCACCTGTTCCACCAGGTGACGGAAGCTGGGACGCCCTGGATCGACCTCAGCCACATTGTCTCCTGCCTCAACAAAGTCAGGGAGCTTTCTTCTCTTCTCTTCTTTTTTTTTTTTTTTTTCTTTTAATGCAAACATTTGATCATTTTATCCATTTTAATGAACTGTTGTTGAATGTGTCACGCATCTAACACATGAACTGACTTAAAAGACGCATGCATGTGCCAATTGCAGAACTGAGAGTAAAAGTACGTCTATTATAGGCCTACCTCCATCAGTGACATTTGGTTAGCAGCTGCTGATAAGTAGGAGCAGCGGACATTTTAATCTCTCAGATCATTTGACTATTTTACAGCCCTAAAAAAATCTCCAAAGTAAGATCACCATCTTAACTTTGCTGTAGATTTATCAGAAGTCGTTCTATTTTATTTTCTTACTTCTGTTCCTCTTTAACTGTAGCGTGTTATAGTTGTGACCTTTTGTACTTCACAAGTCTTAACATAACTCTACACTCACTAATTAATCTATTATACTAATCTCACATTTATCAGACCATCGGGGTAAACAGTAGTTCAGCACGACAGCTTACTCTCCTCCACCCACTTGCTTAAAATTAGGGCTTCGACTAAACAAGTTTTTCTCATCGTTGATTAATCCGTTGAATATTTTTGATAGTTTATTATTTGGTGTAAGAATGTCAGATGATATATTTTTAAATGAGGTTACTATCACATAAAAAAAAGAGAATCCTAAAATCCTCTTGCGAGTAACTAAGAATTTTTGGCTGTTTTTTGCTTGAAAAATATCATTAATCGAATCTATCAAAATAGTTGCGGATGGATTTTTTTGCCTAATTCACTTATAGGTTGCAGCTTTACTTAAAATCCTTAAAAATGTTGAATCGATACCTAAATGTTCTTCTCCTGGGTTGACACAGCTGGATGCTGGCGTTCCTGAGAAGATCAGCCTGGTGTCGCGGGATGAGAAGAGCGTCCTGGTCGTGACCTACTCGGACCTGAAGCGTTGCTTCGACAGTACCTTCCAGGAGCTGCAGGCCGCAGCCTCCGGCTCTCTGTAGCGCCCTCTTCGGGCCCGGGATGGGACTGCCTGTACCTGGAGCACACTATTGCACTACAGCGGAGCACCAGTCTCATGGAGATGACATCAGCATGGCGAAGGCAGCGGGGCGGGGCTTCGTGAACCTCAGTCACATACACTGACTATGTCCACCAGGAAGGCTTTTTCTAAAGTGTATTTTTTTTTAGTTTTCCTAAACCCCGCAGCTGAAAATTGTTAAATTAACAGGAAAAACAAACATAAAAGGACAAATACGGAAACTGTGACGAACGAGTACGATGACATTTTTTTAGATTTGGGGAACAAACAAGAAACAAACCATGAGGTTTTGAACTTTTATTGTTTTGTTTCTACATTTGGGGTTTATTTTTTCTGAGGAGGATGCACTAAGATTTTAATTTTTTTGTTACTTTTTTGTTATTTTTATCAATATGTGTGAGTGGCCTACAGGGTGCACAGAGAGCTAAAGTCACACACGGACATAAACACCAGAGCAGGTCAAACAAAAGAGCAACAAAAAAAAATGAAATCCAGCTTTCTATTGACTGCGCCTCTCTTCCGGCTGGAGACCACACCCCCTTCATTGTTGACGCACTGGGAGACGGGACACGCACCACTCGAGGCTTTCATGAGAGCGGGACCTGTTTCGTGAGATGGGCCAGCCCACCTTTGCCTTGGCTGTTGGTTTCCCCTCAGAAAGGACAAACCACTTAGGCGGGTGGGAAGGGTTCCCAAAACTGGAGAAATAAATGGATTTTGGACATTTTAGTTCAGGAGAATGTGGAACATCAGGCTCGTGGGGGGGTGGCCTACCATGGACTGAGATTTAGGTGTTTTTTTTTTTTGGTTAGCACTGAGGAAGGGGTGTCTTCTCCTGATGCTGTTTACCAAGTGTTTGTTATATGCGCAGCAACCACCTTTGGTTAATGGACGCTTTCGTGACATGAACTGCTCAAAGATGGCTCATTTTGGTTTGGCTGTCTAGCACCTGGTTGTAGCCCGAGGGTGGGGCTTCTGTTGAGGTGGAGCCACAGCTGCCTCTTCGTGGAATGTCCTTATTTTGTCCCCCGCCCGTCCTCCTGCCTCCAACGTCCCCTTTCTGTCCCTCTCTGTCTCAGTCCTCTTATTTCTGCTTTTATCCCCATCTTCACCTCCCAACAGGGGGTCTAGGCCACTTGAGGAAAAAAGTGACACTTTTTGTGAGCTTTTCTCGAGCTGTTTTTCTCTTTGCTTGGATATTGTGCAGGAATGCATGATGGGAACTGGGAGGGCAATTTATTTTTGCCTCAATTCAACTTTATTATTATGTGGACCAATTCCAGGAGGGGTTTAGGGAAAGGGGAAGGGATGGAGGACAAAGGAGAGAACAGGGCAACAGCAGTTTTATTTGGTTTTTAAATATCATGAAATACAAACATGGCGGAGACAAAACAGTGGTGCTCTCTGCTGCACTCACTTGGGTGGCTTGGATTTCTCTCAGGATGACGAACAGCTGGAGGGGCCCAATGATTGAATGTGTTTGGCTGTCATTGGTCACCCCCTGTCCAGTCAGATAGATGAGCTACAGTGGAGTGGGTGGGATGTCTTCAGGTGGAGGTTTTAGGAAGTGAGTGGCGCTGTGGAGGTCACGGTGTGTGAGGGATATCATGTTGCCCTTAAGTACGGTTCATATTCCGTTGATGATTTGAATCTCTTTGAATCAAATTAACTTGTATTAATTTGGTGCAAACCGGCTCTGCTCTGGTAAAGAGATCAATCCAAGCTCTGTATAATTACTGTTCTTGATTCCTCTGCCTTATTCTAGTTCTCGGTAGCTTTTGACGAGTGCGCACAAGCAAAAGACTGTCGAAAAAACAGGGTCTCGTGTATGATACGCAGTGTCGTATTAGAGACAAATCAAGGTTAAAGGCGTAAACAACAACACAATGTCTTGGCTTTTACGTAAACTTTTCAAAGTTTTCATGGAAGTGGATGATCTGTACTTGGGGGTAACAAACCTGCAGAGAGCTGGCTGTGTTAGATCATGTACTACTTCCTCTGTTTTAGTGAAATGAACAGGCAACAACATATTTGGTGAATGTGGTGCTTTAGAAAATGCTGAAAACACACACAGAGATGCACACACATGCTCCCCAACTCGGTCCACACAGTGTCAGTTCTCATATCACTATCTTCCTCATCATAACAAACACACACACACACACACACACACACACACACACACACACACACACACTCCGGTTGATATTAGTGATGACCTTCTCCACATCAACACACCTACAATCACCATCTTAGTATGTTTTATGCCCCTCTTGTGTTCATTGTCTCAAATTTTGCAATATTTGTGTGTACAGCAGTATTTTAATAAAGAATACCAAAACTGATACATGCATGATATCGTCTTGTTTTGCAATTGGGTACATTGCAGCTTTTAACCTATACATGAAATATTTCAAAACGTGTTTATAAAAATGTAAAAACAACATATGAGGTGGATTTTTAAAAAATGGGTTATAATTGTACGCTTCAATGATTGATTATCTTTAAAACTGAAAATACCAGCAAGGCAAGTTTATTTGTAGAGCACATTTCAACAAGGTAATTCAAAGTGCTTCACATAAAACCATTAAAAGCATCAAAAAAGCCGGTAAGTTACACAAGTGGATAAGATGCAGATATTATAGAGATGTATCACTTGATTCTATGTTTTGTAGGGTTGCAAACTAAAAATAGTTTTAACGATAAATCTGCTGCGATCGTTTGGTCTATATTTCAGTAGAAAAAGGGTTAACAATCTTCAAACGTCTTGTTTCGTCTGTCCAAAACAGTCCAAAACCCATAAATAAGTAAGTCACTGGACGAGCAAATCCTCACAGTTGAGAAGCTGGAACTAGGGAATGTTTGGTCTTTTTGCTTGAAAAATAACTTCAAAATAGTTGCCTAATAATTTTCTCTTGATCAACTAATCATTTCAGCCCTAATCAACACCATTGCTCATGCATTCAGTGTTTTTTGTAAATAGAAATATATATTAAAAAACAGCATACACGGATTTGACTTGATTCCATATCTAAGAATACTTTAGTATAGAATTAAATATACACTCAGTTGCCAGTTTATTAGGTATGTAACTCAGTCTAATATAGCAGCCCATACAATCAATGTTTTGTTGATTTTGCAGACTGTAGTTTGTCTTACTGAGTGGTGTTTCACATATTTTGTCCATCCCCATTGATACTATTGGGGTAGTTAAACTGAACATTATAACCTTCGTGAAAATAAACTTATGGCAACTGAGTGTTTATCAACCTTCACAGTAAGATACAGACTAATCAATGAAATGATTGCAGCATTACAATAAATACAGATAGATACATCCTGTCTAAAACATACTATAATTCAGTGGATAATAACTTTTTTTTCCAACATATAACAGCTGTGTAGGAGGAACCATTATTTTATACAGCAGTGTTCCTCTTAACAAAGCTCAGCACATGAGGTACCAATACAATAAGCTCTAATAGTTGTAGGTCAGTAAATACATTCTGCATAACTGCATAAGTACAACCAGGTAATACTTAGCTGCTCTGGGAAGGGGTTATGTGTGGTATTGCAAGACATTACTTGGTAATACTGTAGAGGCTTTGTTGTACAACATCGTAGTATTTTGTGAACTTAAGAAAAGCAAAGTAGTGTTTTGTGTTAAATCTAGAGAAATTGTCTTTTAAGTTGGGTTGAAGGAGGAAATAGAGGGCCGATGAATACATGCAGATATAATGAGGTAGAGGATGCTAACAGCAAAGTTCAAAAGCAGAATAAGTTCTAGTTGACTAAAGATTGTGAGCAGGAAAAAGTATACCCTGTATAAAGTTGTCCAAGAACAGATGCTACAGGGAAGGGTAGAGAAAAGCAGAGTTGTAGTCCGGAGGAGGAGAGGAACCCTCGTCAGACTCCCAATCACACGGCAAGATGGAGGGGTTGTTGTCCCAGAGACCTGTGATGTTATTGCACAGGAAAGGCACCTGTTGGTCCCGGCACTTAGTGAAGGCAAAGAACCTTAAAAACATACAGATTTAGAGTTATAACCTTGTTTATAGTGCATTAAGATAAAATACCTCATTCATACATTGATTGGTTCTTGAATTATTTGTCCGTAAGACATATTTTCCTGAACAATTGAAGACCTTTTTAAAATCCTCATCACCACTGTGAATTCTAACCGGTTACATTAGCTTATATTTACTATAAATTGATGTAAGACAGCATAACTAAACCTGGTAAAAGTATGTCATTAAAATTAAATAAAAAGTCAGCATAATATACTATAATAACAGTCAAAGAAGGTCATAGTATAGTAAGCCATAAAAGTGCATGAATGTCATATGTCATAAAATTGCCAAAATATTAAAATGTTACTAAAGATGTCATAGTGTAGCATGTCATAAAAATTGTAATTGTATAATATTTTATAAAAATTCTCACAGTAATTGTATCACAAAAAAGCATCATAGTGTAGTATGCCATACAAATGTTTAAAAAATATATTTTTTATGTCACAAAAAATGTCATCATGTCTCCAGAAAAATATATGGCATAAAAATGCCAGTATAGCATGTTAAAAAAAAGTTATAAAAAAGTCATAGTATAGCATGTTGAAAATAGCCTTTGAATGATTGATACATATGTCCCATATGGTATAGCAGTAAGGATTCGTGGGTTTCACCCAGGCGATCAGGGTTCGACTCCCGGTGTGGGAATTTGATTTTAAGAAGATAATACAGAAAACAAATCAAAAAGGTATAGTATGTGGTAAACATTCATAGTTTAGTATGTCTGAAAAAGTGAAAACAATTTAATTATATAGTATGTCGAAAAATGAGCCTTTGTTATGTCATAACTTTTTTTGTAATTTTTGAGACCCCACAGACACCCTTTTTTAAAAAGTCGTATTTAGCGTGCACGAATAAATATGTCTACACTGTGTCTTTCTGAGACATCTCTCAAGTATTGTTTATATTTAACAAAAAAATATATGTATGCATCATCACTGTGTTTTCTGCTGTGCGATGATTGCCAGATGACAGGATGTCTTGGTAGGAGGCAAGTCAAGAGTTCAGAGATCACATAAAGGTCACCTGCTGAGTTTCCTGATCTTGGTGCCATTATTCCACGTCAGACGCTTCATTTCCTCGGATGGTAAGACCATGCCGCTGTCACTCTGCTCATCCTAAAGCAGAGAAGATGCAAACATGCAGCTTATTGGGCGTTCTGTTTTTATCTTTTTTCACGTTTTCATTGAAAATAATCAATTCTGACTGAGTGAGGTTCCATTTTTGTCCCATCCCACCTATGTGTGTGTGTGCATGCAATCAGAAGTGTGAAGGTGTTTTCTTACATCAGGGCTGTCTGGCTCTTTGCAGGGCAGTTCCTCAAACGTCTGAAGTGTCGCCATGCCCCTCATGTAACTGGATAGGTTGGATTCAGATTCAAAACATTGAAATCTGGAAATTTCTCTACTTTCTCAACCTGCTTCCTGTTGTTTCTGAATGCAGTTTCAGTTATCGCACACGGCTCTTATTACTTTCACATTCGCACCTGTCATTTTCTCCCCTTTCTTGCATTTATTTTACTACAGCTCTTCTCTACCGTACTTGATTATACATACATATAACATCTTAAGTAAAGGTGCACTGGCACAGACCTATGCTGTATATTAAATTGCATGATGTTTTTATTATATTTATTACGTTTCTTTACCTCAGGTTTGTGACTGCAAGCACGTTTTCTTTGAAGGTCTCACTGCGATCAGTGTCTCCAGTTATGAAAGATCCCAGAGGAATATAATCCTTACCATCCTGTTAAAGACAGGTAACAAAGCTGGATATTTGTAAGACATTTTTGTACTTATGCATATGTTAAGAAACATTTTGCACAACATTTTGAAACATTCATAAGAAGTCCGACCTGCTGAACCCTTGCTTGCAGCAGGTCTCCCAGTGTCTCCACCAGGTTAGTGAAGGTGGGTCGATCTGAGGAACTGGCCTCCCAGCATGCCAGCATCGTGCTGTAACTGTGTACACAAACATACAGGTGTAGTGTTTCATTTTCAATCAAAGCACTAACAGTATCACTCCCTGGGTCACATCAGGAACATACAGGTTTAAATTCCACCCCCTGTTTACTACTTCCCTACTTGTTAGACCTAGATTAACTCTTTTCCTGTCTCCCCTAATTTCAGAGGTAACAGTGTTGAAAACGTATCCACCCACATCTCAGGTGTGCTGTATTCAGGAGCTCGCATCCTTGTTCCTCCCTTCAGTCTGTGGCAGAACTCCTCATCTATGTGAAGACCAGGGTATGGAGAAGCTCCTGTTGGACACACACACATACACACACAAAGACACACACACACGTACGCATATCGATACATCAATATTTGAACACATCCATCCAAAATGGAAGATCATAAGTTATCAGATCATAGTATGTCTTACAGGGCTTTTGTATGCAATGTCTTTCTGTTATTTTGTCCACCACCTGTGTGTGTTCAGAACAAAACCGTGGTGAGAGGGCTCTTACCCAAAGAGAAGATCTCCCACAGTAGAATGCCGTAGGACCACACGTCACTCTGCGTGGTGAACACCTTGTCAAAGATGGCCTCTGGAGACATCCACTTCAGAGGGAGGCGGGCCTGTCAGCCAATCAGACGACAGGAGCAGAGTTACCAAAGACCACTCATGGGGAAACATTTAAAGTTTGGCTGGTTGAAAAGCCGTTGGCCACAGATCCTTTTGAGGAAAAGTGTTACGTTATGCTCAATATTTCCAAAACAGAAGCAACAAGTTAATTGTGGGAACAGCAGTTAATGCATACTCCTCCAAGTTGTATTAAAACTTGCAATGTGGTTTAATGTATCAGTTATGGCCACTTAATAACATTACGTATAGTTGTCCTGTTTCAACCCCATGAACAAACAAACATTTTGTCATTTACAAAAATAACTTTAAAAACATAAAACAGCCCTTTTGCCTGTGGTGAGTATCTTTTAAGAAAGAGGCTGCAAAAGCAGTTTATTTTGTAAATGTACACATAAAATGCAGGAAAAAAATACCCTATTTACCGTTATTTTAAGGACTAATGTGACTTATTTCTAAAATTTACTGATCGAATCCTAAAATATGAAATACTATAAAGAAACTTAAAATGTTGAAATACAACATTTTGCTTTCAGTGGTGAGGTTTCTAAGGATGTCATCAGTCAATTTGTAGATAAATTGTTAATGAAAGACTTTTAGACCGTGGATTTTGGAACCACGTTGCTCACGTGTACTCACATCTCCCTTGCGGACGTAGTCGGGATCTTTGTAGATGTCTCTGGCCAGGCCGAAGTCACAGATCTTCACCACTTTATTGTCGGAAAGCAAAATGTTCCTGGCTGCCAGGTCTCGGTGAATACACTGGTTGCAGAAGCAAGGAGAACACAAATAATTACACACATGAAATACACAAGTGCACCTGCATCCACACACACAAACACATCAAGTATCAGACCTTGCGAGAGGCCAGAAACTCCATTCCTCGCGCCACCTGGAAGCTGAAAGAGATGAGATCCTCCAGGAATAAAGGAGGGTTGGAGGCAGATTTGGGATCTAAAGGAAGAAAGAGAGGGGACATATTAAAGCAACTTGATTATGCACAAACATAAGAAAATATTTACTATGCTCATGGCTTACTGAGGTGATTTTCTTTCTTATCTCTCTCGTCAAACTCAGACATGCTGGCGACACAACCTGGCCCTCCATCCTTTCCTCTGGCAGGCTGAGATGGGGAGAAATCAGTTAGATGTTTTCAATTATTGTATGAAAATAGAAATTGTGTTTATGTGACATTTGTTAAGTGGTTTTGGTCAATTTGTTGAGAGAACTTCCTAAACATGTTTTGCTTTGTGAAAATGACCTTAAAGGCTGCGTGTTTGTATAGCTATGTCTAAACCTGTGAAGAAATCAAGGAAGTAGCCTTCCTGCTTGACAACTGATAAAATATTTGAGCGTCAAACCGATTGCAGAAGTGAGTTTTTGAGTGTATGATTTTGTAATTGTGTGCAGCAAAAAAGGGGCGAATTTGTTGCTTTATTTCTCAACTGCAAGGAGAAGTGTGGGGCACACAGGGATGTGTGAACTCTGTCTGCACGCCATGGGCATCCTGTCTTGTGTGAAATATGGCTATGATGATACCATCTTTAATTGCGTTTGTAGACGCACCGTCTTGTGCACAAACACATCTCTCTTTCCCTTCAGGAAGGTAGAAAGATTTCCATAGCGACAGTATTCCACAATGACCATCAGTGGCCCTGCAAACACAGAGAAACACACACACACACACACACACACACACACACACACACACACACACATATTATAGTTATGACAAGTGTGAGGTCACAAAAACACACATAAATACTCATGGCTCATACACCTAAATATGCATGAAAATGAACTTGTGCATGTATATATATATGCATATTAAGAGCACACATGCAAGGAAACACGCACACCTCCCAGTTTGGTGCAGGCTCCCAATAGGTTCACTACATTCAGATGATGTCCAATGTAGTTGAGGATCTTCAGTTCAGTCATCAGAGCTTTGTGTTCGCTGGCTGTAGCTCCCTCTGGTGGACAAAAGGCAGAAACGAGTGGAATAAATGTTTTTTTTGCACAGAATTTGTGATTTAATTTTCTCAGAATACCATGGGACCCAATCTGGTACCTTTGAGCATCTTAACAGCCACAGTGCTGCAGCTGGTGGCGTTGTCTATACCAAACGCAGCTGCCTGTATCACCTTACCAAAGGCTCCACGGCCCAGAGGTTTCCCTGTGAGAGAGAGAGAAAGAATGTGAGTGAGGCTGATGGGGGGGAAAGGGAGGTGTGTTTTTTTGTCTAATTGAGCCACTTTATTAATTACTATTATTATCCACCCTGGACGTGAGATACTGATAAGAGAATACCCCATCAACAGTCCATCTAACTGAATCCCACCCTAGTGGACTGATTAGTTCCAGTCTACACAGTTTACA